GAGAGAGCGCGAGCGCGTGTCCTGGGGATCATGTTACCACGTTAAAGTATAGATTCTGACTCCGCGTACTTGGGGTGGAAATGCGAGTTCTCAGCAGGGTTAGAAGTGGGATGAAGGATCCGCAGCTCCAGTTCCTGCTAAGCACCAGGACCTCTTACCAAACATGATCACGTCGCCTTTCAGGAAGGCGCCTCCGAAGACAAAGCGAATCTCGTCTGTGTGGTCGGCTTTGACGAAAGATGGCTTTGTGTTGTTAAAGCACGCAGGTCGGTGCTGAAACTCATAGAAGTAGACAGGAGCTCCAGCATCTGATAAAAATCCCAAGAGGCTGGGTCAGGTGGGTACACCCGCCCGCGTCCCACCCACCCAACCCGGGAAGCCTAGATCCACAGTGGAGCAACTCAGAGCTAATTTATCTCTTCCTATTAGAGGTTCAACGGCACATAACAACAACGTTGGTTGTTGTTGTTGTTGTTGTTATGTGCCATCGAGTCACCTGCAACTCATAGCAACCCTATGTACTACAGCCCTAAACCCTGCTCTAGCCTGTGCTAGTGTCACTGTCTCCGACACACCTACCCCTATTACCCCAGTCACTCAATTAATCCATCTCATCGAGGGTCTTCCTCTCCTGTGCTGTCCCTCCACCCTCCCAAGGACTGGTCCCTCCTTGCAACATGTCCAAAGAATGTCAGATGAAGCTTCAGAATCATTGCCTCCAAGGAGCCTGGTTTAACCCTCTTCAGGATGAAACTCATCCATCTCTTGGCAGTCCATGTTCAATACTCCAACACCACAGCTTCAAGGCATCCGTTCTCCTTGTATCATCTCTAGTCATTGTCTAACTCTCTGATGCATACAGCAAGTGATTGCAAAGACCATGGCCTTTTTCAGGTGCACCTTAGTCTCCAGACTCTTCTGTACTTTGGAGAGGTCTCGGACAACAGATTTTCCCAACGCAACACATCCTTTAATTTTCTGGCTGCTGGTGCTAAGAGTGTTGACTGTGGAGCCAAGCAAACTAAAGCTGTTTACAGTCTCAAGCCTTTCACCATCCATCACGATGCTGCCAATCGGCCCAGTGGTGAGAATCTTGTTTTCTTGACATTGAGCTTCAATCCATAAAGAAGGCTTCAGTCCTTGACCTTCTACAACATTAGCGCCTGGGATTTCCTGCTACATCAGTCCCATACTACTCATGACAGGGACCTCTCTACCTCTCAGGGAGGTCTGAGGGGACAGTGGTTCTATTATTCAGTAAAGCTCTTCATCTTATACAAGAACTCCCTACCATGACTCCCTTCTTTTCAGTGACTGTGTTCCCTTACATGTGCCTCTATGCCATTTTCTCTTTATAAAACATCACTCACAAGTGACTGGGTTTAGAACCTCCTCTCCACCAGCAGGGGAGCTCTGGTGCTTAATCTGTAGGGATCCACACAGCTAATACAAAGCCTCCAGGGGCTCTGAGGACAAACGAGGGCTCATCTCCTCCCAGGCAGTTCACAGAACACGACAGAGGTCAGCTGTGAGTCATCTCCAACTCAACAGCAATGAGTTTTCTACTCCAAGAATGACCTCACAAACACAAAGAACAATCTGTGCCCACACTAGTCTGTCTATATTCCAGCATCTCTTTTTAGTGGAATATAACTTTTTTCATAATAACCCCTCAGATACCTCTCTATTCCAGGGTATGCACAAGAATTGATGCCTTTGAATGATGGTGTTGGCAAGGGATCTTGAATATCTAATGGGCTGCCAAAAGAGCAAACAAATCTGTCTTGCAAGCAATGCAGTGAGGGTGTTCCTTAGAGGTGAAACTTTGTCTGTCTTACTCTGGGTGTATTTGCATGAGGAACTAGTCCTTGGAGGGAATGGGAGAAGGTCATGCTGGGAAAGGTAAAGGGTCCATGAAAGACAGGAAAAGCCTTGATAAGATAGACACTCTACAAGCAAAAGAACCCCAGAGATTGTGGCAGGTGCAGGAAACTTGGAGAGAGCTTTGTAGGCAGAGTCAATATGTTTAGGACCCAATTTGGACTTTTAGCTGTTAGAACTTTGAGACGATGAATGGCTGTTCTTTAAAGTCATCCACTGCACTCATTTCTATTACTTAAGCCCTGGGTAGTTGAACTGGAATGGACATCAGACAAATTAGGGGGAAGGTATTAAAAATAGAAATGACAAAAACTGATCAACTCTCAACTCTGAAAGGCAGATCTCAAGGTCAGGGGCAAGGTTCTGGGCAAGAAACACTTGAGGACACTCCTCCCACCCCCACCCCAGTGACTCAGTGGCCAGTCAACAGACAGCTTGATTCTCTAAGGTCCCGAGCCTGGCCGTGGGCCGGGAAGGAATACACACTCACCTCTGTGATACTGAGCTGTGATCAGGGAAGGAATCACAAAGAACACATCACTGAGCAAGTCCAGAAAACTATTTCGGATTTCAGCCATGGAGTTCTTGCCCCTGAAGTATTCATCGACCAGGAAAGGCATGTACTGTCTGGGGATGCGCTGTAAGAAGTCAGTGACAAAGTCCCAGATCAACAGCCACTGACACTACAATCCTGTCTGTGTGCAGCTCTGACTCTGAGTACGGCTATCCTTCAGCTGCCTGGCAACCATCATTTCACAAAATAAGAACTAGAGGCTTATAGTGGTTAAGTGGTTTCTCCAAACTGGTAGGAGCCATCATTTTCCAAAAGCCTGTTTGACTCCACATTCCATGTACCTGATCACAGTACACATGCCCTCTGCTGTGTTTCCAAAATAGTCATTCATGGGCTGACTTGTGGGGCCTTCATCATGTGGAAACGCAGGGTCAGCCATACACAGTGAAGACTTTCCAGGTGGCAACAGCAGAGCAACCCAAGCAGAGGATTTTACTGAGTAAGAGACCCTCTGTGACATCATAAGGCCTCATGACTTAGGTCCCACCACTAACCCCACCCCTTTGCTATTTCTACTAAGCTAGTTGCTCATAGGCCTTTTGAAAGTCTGTTATTTTGGAAGTGGATGGTCAGTCCTCCTTTCCAGATTTATTCTAGAAACTCTGCTGCAACATGATTACCATCTGTAACAATTCTGGTATTTAATACATTGGTGGCACAACTTGCAGAATTACAGCAATCCACAAGCTACACCAGTACAGCAGAATGACAGACAAGTGCTATACTAATAGCACAGGTTTGAGGCGTTGATAACTAATGATTGAAGACCAGAGGAGCTGTAGCATGAAATAAAGGATATCATACATGAAGAGAACAGAAAGTCCTTACAAAGACAGAGAACAACAACAACAACAAAAATCAAACTGGATGTCAGAAAAAAAAAACCTATAAAAATTACATTAGAGCATCAAGAAGATACAACCAAGGGAAGTGATACCAAAGTAAAAGGGCTGAAGAGAAGATTTCAAAGGGCAGCTCAAGAAGACAAAGCAAAGTATTACAATGAAAGATGCAAAGAGCTGGAGTAAGAGAAGAAAAAAAAGGAAGAACTCAGCTAGCATTTCTCTAGCTAAAAGAACTGAAGAGCAAATTCAAGCCTCACATTGCAATACTGAAGGATGCCATGAATAAAATAGTGAGTGATCTGAGAAGCAGCAAAAGAAGATGGAAGGAATACACAGAATCACTTAGAAAAAAATTTTTTGTCAACATGGAAAAATTTCAGGAAGTATCACATGAACAAGAGACAATGACATGGAAGGAAGAGGTTCAACAATGTCAGTTTGACAATGAAGACTAAGGTACGCTTGATTCAGGCCAGAATCTTTCCACAGACTTGCCATGCATCTGAGAGCTGCATAATAAATGAGGATGACAGAAGAAGAGCTGATGTCTCTGAGCTGTGGTGTTGGAGCAGAGTCCTGAATATCCCATGGATTGCCAAAAGAACAAACAGGTAAGTCTTAGAAAAGGTGCAGCCAGAGTGCTCCATGCAGGCAAGGATGGCGAAGCTTTGTGTCTCATACTTGGGATATATTTCTAGGAGAGGCTATTCTTTGGAAAGACATATGCTTGTAAAGGTGGAGGGTCATCAAAAGGGAAGAAGACCCTCAATGGAGTAGATTGACACAGTGACTGCAGCAATGGGCTCAAGTGTATAAGAGATGGTGAAGATGGCACAGGGTAGGAAAGGATTAAGGTCTGTTGTTCAGTGTTCAGTCTCAACAGCACGGAACAACAACTAACATTGCTCTCTAGGAGCCCTGTGATATGGCATTCTAAGTGCTGGCCTGCAAATGGAAAAAATCAGCTATTTCAGTCTGTCAACTACTCCATGGAAGAAAGACATGGTAATCTGTCCCTGTAAAGGTTATAATTCTGAAAATCTGTGGGGCAGTTCTAATCTGCCCTTATCATCTCTGTGAGTCAGAATCAACTTGACAGCATGGGGCTTGGAGGTTTTTTAATTGGTGTCTTGGAATTCTTGACTGATGTGAATCATTACGCATTTGACTATTAACAGAAAGGTTAGTGGTTCGAGCCAGACCAGAGGCACATTGGAAGAAAGATCTGACGATTCACTTGAGTTGAAAATCTGATGGGCAGTAGTTCTACTCTGAAACACAGAGTTACCCCGAGCATAAATAAACACAAAGGTTTGTTTCTCAGAGCCTCAGTCACTTTACCTATACAATGGGGATTGTTCTAAGGATTGTATAAAGAGGCTAGCATGAGGCCAGGCATGGAAACAAGCTCATCTCCAGAGCTGGGTATTCCACACCTTCAATATGTCCCCCACCATTTTCTTGCTAAATTTTACTCTCTCAACTTGCCCCAGACACGAATGCCTGCTCACAGAGAGTTAACTTTATCTGCAACATGGTGATGTCTTTGGCAGTCAGGGCCCTAGGAAATGCTGTGTCTCTAGAATCTGGAGGCAGTGTTTACCATCCCAGGGAGCACTGCTCGGGTTCATTTACCCAGGCCTCAAAAAGTTGACGGTTTTCAGTCAGGTCCAAAGCAAAGCCACAGTGTCAGAGTGATCTCTGAGGTACTGGGGGAACCAGACTGGGCGAGAAAAGAGTGCGGGATCTTTGGGGAGCCCCAGTGGGACAGTCTTGGTGCAGACTTCTAGGGTGCTGGAGCAAGACCATGTCTTCTGCACTCTTGAGATCTTTACACTGCTTTAAAAGCAGCATGTAATCCAGCCCAAGGTCGTGGTGGTGGTTGTGTGCCCTAAAGTTGGAACCAACTCACAGCTGACCCTCCAGTGGGTTTTCAGAGGCAGTAAATCACATGGGAGAAGATTGCCCATCTTTCTCCTGTAAAGCAACTAGTGGACTTGACCCATATGACTCTGGCAGGTGTAACAGAAGTTCTTCCACGAGGCCAGCAGATCTCCCTACCTATCCTGAGGACATCTACAACTCTTCTCATGCCTTCTGAACCACCACCCCAAGACTATTTTCCACCCCTAGAACTGGGTTGCACCTGATACTCTTGTTATTCAAATGTTCCTCTTTCCTAAGGCCAGATCAACCCAATCTAATCCGAGAGGGTTCACAGCCTGACTTCAATTTCAAATGTCCCTCAGTCCTCATCAGTCATCCAGGCTGCATCAAACATCCCACTAAGTCTCAGAGCCTGAGAAGTCCTCGCTTCTACTTTGTCCCTGTGCAGTCAAAAATCTCTGAAATGGAAATTAATCACATCACTCCTCTGTCTGTTCCCGGGTCTTAGAATGAAGCCATGGTCTTTGCCATTACTTGTTATGCTTCAGAGAGCTAGACAATAACTAGGGATGATAGAGAAGGAGAGTTGATGCCTTTGAGCTGTAGTGCTAGAGAAGAGTATTGAATATACCATAGACTACTAGGAGAACAAACAAGTTCACCCTGGAGAGGGTGTAGCCAGGCTGCTCCTTGGAGGCAAGGATTCTGAAGTTTCATCTGACATACTTTGGACATGTTGCCAGGAGGGACCAGTCCTTGGAGAGGGATGTCATGCTTGGGAGGGTGGAGAGATAGTGCAGGAGGGGAAGACCCTTGATGAGATGGATTGATTCCATCACTGATTCCATAAAGGGGATAGGTGTGTTAGAGACAGTGAGATTGGCAAGAGATACAGCTGGGCTTAGGACTGTTGTATATAGGGTCGCTATGAGTCCTAAGCGACTTGGCAGCACATGACAACAACAACATACTCCTTGCATAGTTTATAGGGACTACAAATCACCCTCCCCATTGAAGTTCACCCACTAAGCTGGTCTCTCACACTCTTCCGGTCTGTTCCCAACCCTTCTTCTTGTTTCTCTAGCTCCTCTACCCGGCCACCTTCAATCTGCATGACAAACTCCACCCACATAAGCCATTCTTCCCAGGGAGTTGCCTGCTTTTTCCAAGACCTCACAGGACTTGGTTCATTAAACACTGTACTGAATGGTCTGGCTGTCTGCCCCAGCAGTCTACAAATCCCTCAAGCACAAAATCGCAGGGCCCCAGCATCTCTGGCCATCGCTGCAGCCCCTGGCCCTAGGACACCATGGTTGTGCTTGAACCTGATCTCATTTCTAAGCAGCTGAGTGAGATGCACCTGGTGCAGCATGCTCAGGGCAAATGGAAAGAAAGGAAGGTGAGTGAGAAAGAAGAAAGGAGTCCATCTCTACATTCTGATAGAGTCTGCTAATCACACACACTAAGGGACCTCTGGTGGCCTGGTGGCAAGAAGCTGCGCTACAATCCTGAAGGCATGTGGTTCAAAGCCACCAGTTGCTTGATGGGAGAAGGATGGACAATCTTCCCCCATACCATTAACTGCCTCTGAAAACCAAGTGAGGCTCAGCTCTGGGTTCCGACACACTTGCTCACTAAGTGAAAGCAGAAGGTACTACTAGCTCCTTGGACTTACTGGAACCCAACACGATGTGGGGCTAACCCCACCAGGGACTATCGCCCAGTCCCTGGTGTTTCAGGAGTCAGACCTAGTCAGACTGTTGGTGGATCATTCAGTACAGAGGCTGCATAGCAGATAACACAGGGAAGCAGGAGTAAGGAGATTACTGGAGTAAACTGAGGCCAAACACTAACCACATTGTCAGCATAGATGACATTTGGTGACCATGTGGGTTACAAAAGAGTATCAGGGGGGGTTCTGGCTCGTTAGATATTAAAATACAGCTGAAGCGTTGTGAATTTGTGCATAGTAAGGATCTACTTTATAAAAATTTTTATCTTATACTGATTTGTTTATATAGTTCATATGCATTGTTTTACACAGCAAATCTTTCCCATTTCCTTCACCCATCCCTCCTTTTACCCGTCAAATTGTGAGAACCAATGATTACCACTCTGTCCATCCTCACCCCTCTGTCCCTACCCTCCACCCTTGGATCCTCATATATGTTTTACTAGTTTTCTATTTCTACAATAAAGGTCTTATATAGTATTTTTCCTTATAGGACTGAGTTAGTTCACTTAGCATAATGCTCTCCAGTAGTAAGGGTCTATTTAATGAATAAATGGATGAGAAAAGAAGGGTCTGTACTCCCAGGGTGCAACCCAGAGATGTTTGTTAAGTGAACATGCATCTGGAAATTGCAGTCACTCACGCTTACTCACCAGGATTGTGTGCAGCAGGTGGAAAATGATGGATTTGTTGGATATCCCAAAGATCTCGGGAATCTCTTTCTGTAGAGAGAAGCAGGGCATGGTCTGTGAGTTCATCTGGCCCCAAACTCATCTGCCAGCAGGAAGGATTGGAGCAGCAGGCAAGCCCTCTGCCCTAGGCTGACACCTGGTCTCTTACGTGTTCCATCAAAGGCAGCAGACTTCTGTCATCCCAATGGTCCTTAGAGCCTGTGAAAAGGCTTGACTTTGACCCCAAATTCAGGAGGAGATTACAGAATCTTGGGATTTAAGGTAGTTGTTGTTCTTAAGACCTTTATAGAATGGGCCTCTAAGAAGCCAAGCAGGATGACGTCAGCCATGAGGAAGCAAGAGGGTCATGGAGAAAACAGGGACTCCTAGTAACCTCATACATTTTTTTGTTTCTTAGCCTTATCTTTCAACTTTAAAATAAAAAGACTGATTTGGACAAATGAACTTTGATGGTATTGTCAAATTGAATCTCCTACTCTCATACACTTTGAGCATGTGGCCAGGAGGGACCAGTCCTTGAAAAAGAACCTCAGTCTTGGAAGGATGGAAGGACAGAAGGACAGTGTAGGAGAGGGAGACCCTGGATGACACAGTGACTAAGATAATGGGAGTAGGTGTGTTGAGACTGGCTCAGGATAGGGCAGGGTTCTGAGCTAATGTGCATTGACACAACTCTATGGCACATAACAAAAAA